TCATTTGCCTATTACTACGAAACGTCTAAAAATAAAATATAATTCATTTTAGTGAGTTTTTCTGTAAGTTTTTGTAATCATGTTACCAGTTTGTTAATTAAATCACACATTGTTATCGTAAAAGAAAATCAAAGTTTCAGCTTCATTTTCAATAAAAAGTTATTGGATAAAAACGGTTACAAAATTAGTTCTTATACATAATAATGATAATAACAATATTATTATTATCAAATTATTATATTATTATTATTATTATTCGCATTATTACATTATTATTATTTAATAATAATACTTACATCATTATTCAACGAATAAAGCTAACCATACACTTACATGCCTTTTTTATCGTTAATATTAAAATTTTTTTGCTAGAGCATTTACTAATTTATATATATATCAAATCAAATCAATCAAATCAAATATTGTATTTATATAGCGCCAATTATAATTGGTTCTCATCAGCGCTGTCCTCGTATGAAGCATGTTGAAAGCAAAGCCATCATCGGTTGAGATCACTAGAAGTTACCAAATAGGTATGTCTTTAGACGTTTTCTAAACTCAGCTAATGATAACCCGGATATACGTAGTTCGATAGGTAGGCTGTTCCAAAAAATAGGCCCAGCAACTGCAAAATCTCTATCTGCTGTTTTCAGATTCCGATCTCTAACATACAGCGTGTTTGAATCAGCAGACCTTAGACGCCCATGTGATGACATAGATGAAACTCGAATACACTCATCTTCTAAATATTTCGGAGCCAGACCATTTAAACTTTTAAATACCATTACACCCAACTTGAACATGATTCTTTGTTTAACACGCAGCTAATGCAACTCCTTAAGAATTGGTGATGCATGATCAAATTTTAATTTGCGATATATCATTCTAGCAGCCTGATTCTGAACCATCTGAAGTTTAGACAACAGTTTATCAGCTATGCCATATAGAAGACTGTTACAATAATCCAATCTAGAGTTGACGAAAGCATGTACTAATAGAGTCATTGTATCTCTATCTACCGATTTTGTGACTTGACGTAATTGACGTAGTTGGAACATACATTTTTTAACCAATAGACTGACTTGTGGACCCATTGTCATACGGGAGTCCATCGCAATTCCCAAATTGGTTACCGTTTTACTGAAACTTATATCAGTCATGCTGATGTTAATCGATGAAGGTTCAACCGCTGACGTTTGTTGCCATGTACCAGCCAACATGAACTGAGTCTTAGTCTGATTCAGCTTTAGCCTACTTTGACCCAGCCACGAGCCGACATCAGATATAGTTTTTGTCAGTTTCTCTAATACGGTAGGCATCTTATTTGGGAAACATGAAACGCAAATCTGCATGTCATCAGCGTACCCATGGCAATAATAACCATCTTTATTCAGTAAATCCAATATCTCTGCAACGTACAAATTAAAAAGAATCGGTCCAAGAACAGATCCTTGAGGCACCCCTGACGTAAGTTTCATTGGTTCCGAGAGACCACCTGAGAAAGAAATCTGCTGAGTCCGACCAGTAAGAAATGGTTCGAACCACGCTAACGCAATTTTATTTAAACCATAACAATATTTCAGTCTGTCCAGCAGGATTTTATGATTCACAGTATCGAACGCCGAACTCATGTCCAGGAATGTCAACAAAGTTACTTTTTGTACATTAACTGCTGAATAAACATGAGAGAATATATTCGATAGAGCTGTTTCGGTCGAATGAAATCTTCTGTATCCAGATTGATGCGAAGGCCAACAACCATTTTTATTTATATGATTATTTAAAATAACTCAACGGAACGTTCAATAATTTTAGAAACGAAAGACAAATTTGACACCGGCCTATAGTTTATCAGATCTGATTTATCTAATCCTGTCTTCTTTAGAATTGGCGTGACAATTGCATGCTTGCAAACCTGTGGCATTACACCCTTCGTTAAGCACATGTTGATTAAGTCCGTTAAGTAAACAATAAAATAGTCAGCATATTCTTTGAATACATGCGTCGGTATTGGGTCGAGTGAGCATGACTTTGTAGGTGACGAATTAACAACTTTAGATATCTGTTCTTCAGTCAGCACTGGAAACGATTCGAGAGGAAACATAATATTAGTAGAAATAACTGGAAAATTAAAACATTTAGTTGACTTTTCGGTCACTTTCAACTTGTCAGCAAAAAATTTTTTAAAATCATCGGCGCTATGCATATATATATATATATATATATATATATATATATATATATATATATATATATATATATATATATATATATATATAATTAATTTAACCCAGCTATCGTAAATGAGCAATTATAAAAAAAAATTCAGTTTCATTTGATATGGATAAAAGGAAGTTATCTAAAACCATACTTCAAGATTTGTTCTATTGAGACAATTAAACAAACATGTTATACTAATATAATCATGATAAATACCTTCTTGTACTCTTCATGATAATCCTTGTCAGTTGCTGTTACAGTCACCACCTCTATTCCTGAACTGAGGTTCTCAGCTACGCTGCTTGAGTATCTGAGAGTTTTGGTAAAAATATAGATACACATTACATCGTGTTTTTTGAAACAAATTTTAATAAAATACTTCTTTATCAAAGCAATTGGTAAACAATTATTGAAACGTTTCTAAACACAGGAACCTGCCATTTTCATCAAGTCCAACAAACTGTGGTATTTCATCATTTGAATCCTGCACTTGAATAACAACTTGCATATCCACATGCATAGAATCCATTGCTCTATTCTATTGTTGTAAAAGGTTGCATAAGATTGCAATGAATAAGATTACATGCTCCAAAGAATAAAATATTTTTTAATCGTTAAAAAACAAACATTTTTTTTATTCCAGAAAATTTTTATTTAAATTTAGTAATTATAGAGCATGAGATCCTTAAATCCAATAAAATAAACACCATTAATTTCAGTCAGTCAGTCGGTCAGTCAGTCATACATTAAATCAATCAATCAACTAATCAATCGTTCGTTCATTCATTCATTCATTCATTCATTCATTCATTCATATTTTCAATCCTTTGAGGAATATAGTTTTTAGATTTCCAAATTAAAAAAAATTATGTTGAATTCAATATTCCAACTTGGTTCACTCCGTAATTTCATCCGTCCCTTTTTGGTAAATTTGTAAGTTTTTGATCCTCCGACTTGTTTCCAGTTTCCATTTGTCATAAATAGAGTTTCAGTTTTCGTACTATGACTATGTTTTATACTTTTCTTTGTTTTCTTAACTGGTTTGTTATGATTTCAGTAGCACTCTATTTTAAATGCTTCTAATCAGTTTTAATCTCTCTTTTTTATTGTCCAAGTTTTGCTTTCTTTTCAGCACAAAAATTTCCACTTTCCTCGTTTTATACTTTTTTTTAAACTGGTTTCTTATGATCTCGTTTGCTATTGTTTTAAATGCTTATAATCAGTTTTAGTCTATTTTCTTTATTGTCCAAGTTTCGCTTTCTTTTTAACACAAAAATGTTCACTTTTTAAATTTATCTCAGTAATGCACACATTCCTTGTGCAAAAGTTATTCTTTAGTTAATTTTGTTGGCCAATTAATGGTCGATATTTATGAGACGGCCAAAGTGAACAAACTGGTTGACTTTTTGTTAAGTTTTTCCAATTTTATTTCCATGTAATGTCTTTATGTTCTCCTGAAATCATCGCCTACGCTTTGTTTTTGATCCTTTATAATATTAACTCCAATATCAAATCCACCGATCAATAAAATATACGTTTCTTATTGTTTTTTCCAATAATTCTTTCAATTTCCGCTTAAGCCAAATTACTCTGTATTGCTTTTTGCTGCCATTTTTGAATCTTGATTATATCAGTGAGTTTTTATGATATCAGTCAGGCATAAAATGTTTTTTTTTACATTTAACTGCTCTCAAAAATTATTTGTTATGACGTGGTTATGTGTTTAAAAAATATTTTTATCACAATACTATTATTTACAATATTTACAAAAATATGCGATTACATTTTGAGCATACATTCAGTAAAATAATATTTGATGATGTTTGCCAAATAAATAAATTTTGAAAAAGTTTGTTTATAACTAACAACAGCCTTGATATTTAGTACATATTTTGGAACAGTTTCAAAATCTAGGTTTCTGTACGTTAAAAGAATCATTTCGTTAGTGATCTCATCATGGCGATTGTAAAATGTTATTGGCCGACCATTTTGTTCAACATTAAGACCTGAGAGAATGAAGTAATTTATTAAAATACCAGATGGGACCAATGATGATGTTGTTAAAGATCTGTTCAGATAAGAAGATGGTACAGCTTTGAATTGTTTGATGGGATGGTTCAAAGGGACATTTTCATCGACAACAATGACCTGATTTTCATAATCTTCCAGCCAAACGGGCATATCAAGCACTTTTTTTAAAACTTCAATAATTATTTTTGCTTCGGATGTTAAAGGCGGTATGCCTTTGTCTTTAGCCAATATTTCAATAGATATTTTTCGTTGCTGTTTGATAATTAATAAATTTAAATCAATGGTAAGAAGCATTCAAGAATTTATTGAATTTGTAAAAAAACATATTTTTTAAGCAAATAAAAAGATTTCATTTAATATAAAAGTTGAAGTCAATGATACCAACTCCTATCAGAGGCTTTGTTACAGTCAACCACCCTGTATTTGGATGGAGGTTGAATAATTGAAAACCGATAGATGTACAATTTTTGATGAAATATTCAATTTCACTATTCCTACCAGCATCCTGATCAGTTGCATAAACTTGTTTTATTTTTTTGCCAACACTACTTGATTCCTCAACACTGACAAAGTACTCAGGCATACTGGAGGTGTTGAAATGCAATATATAGAAATTAACACATATCAACTGATGAGTACATTGCAAATTGTTAGAATATGGTTAAACAGATTTTACTAAAAAAAAAATATGGCAAGCTTAAATGATTGTTAAATTTAAATCAATCAATCTTCGTTTAGCGTCCAAAGACCCAGTTTTCCGAGGTAGGACGTTGTTTTCTTTGCCATCAACTTTTGCGCCAAAATAGACGATCAGTTGTATCCATTTCATTAAAATTTAGAACCTTCATGTCTTGCTCAATTGTTTGCGACCAGGACTTTTTTGGACGGCCTTTTGTACGTGTGCCAGGTACTTCAACATCTGCAAGAGAAGTTGTGGCACTGTTTTCACTTCGTTTGACATGACCAAACCACCGCAGACGGTGTTGCCAGCATTCGTCCTTTATATCATCTAAACCAGCACGACGCAAGATTTCGGTAGATTTGATGTGGTCCTCCAAACTAATTCGTTGCATCCATCGGAGCATTTTCATGTCGGTTCGTTAAAGTTGTTGTTCCAGTTTGGTTGTCATTGACCATGTTTCAGCATCATATAACAACACCGGACGTATCACAGATTTATAAAACTTGATCGTAGTGGTAGTGGGATGTCACGCTACATCAATATAGAGGCAAGGAGATGCCATTTATTTCAGGCTGCACGTATACGTGCTCGAAAAGCAGGTTTAGCTGTTCTAGTACAATCTAGAACATTCCCTAAATATTGAAACGATGTGACTTTCTCTACCTTAATGGATTCAAAAACATGCTATTTCAAATTTGTTGTTGTGAATTGATGCAAGCAGGACAAACAAAATTGGACACTTTAGATAAAGTAACAATTATTTTTGAACAACGTATGTGACACCACTAGTTACACTGCTGACACTTGATTGAATTGTTCCTACACCAGCTTTACAAACTGAACAGGGCCATCATCTAGTAGCTGTGGATTGGATGGGTTCACCAGTGATCATTGCTTTGATTTTGCTGATGTTTACTTTGAATCCATGATCGGCGAGTCTGGTGTTCCAATTTTCAAACATCTGTGCTGCATTCTGCTCAGAAGTGGCTATTAAAACGATATACTCAGCATATATTAGATTCCAAATGTCACCAGTGCGTATCGGGCTTGTGATTTTTTCAATCACAGTTATAAATAACAGTGGACTGAGAATCGAGCTTTGGTGAACTCCAACGCCGGTGTCAAATGCATCTGTGTTACCAACCGTTGTGCTGACGAGAGTCTTAGTATTCGTATACATCAGCGAAGAAAGTAGAGCGCTTCTGAAGTCAACTCACAAGAGGCGCTGTACAAATTCTGCAATACAATACAATACAATTTCCATCACAAGTCGAAAAAGATATACTGGAATGAGTTGCCGACGTAGACTCCACCTGATTGCTTTACGGGGAACACGATCAAATGCTTTTTCAAGGTCTACAAAAATGTGTAATAGTTGTCGATGCTTTGCGAGGTACTTCTCTTGCAGTTGCCGAAGGATGTGAATTGCATCAATTGTTGATTTCCCCGTTAGGAAACAAATTGATAATTTCCGATTGTGATGCACGACGTTAATCTTCTCTCAACGATTTTCTCGAAAATTTTCTCGGAGTGTTCTAACAGACATATACCCCGATATGATGAACAATTCAATGGATCACCTTTGCTTTTGTATAGGGAAACTCTCATGCTACAGTTCCATTCAGTCGGCATTGAGCAATTTTTTTCACACTTTACGGCAAAGTTGTAGTAACGTTTGCATACCTGCAGCGCCTTTGATAATGTCATTTGTGAGTCCAGAGGGCCCTACTGCCTTTCCATCCTTCGTAGCTTTAAGAGCTTTTGTAAGCTTTTCTACAGTGATGTCTAGAATCCGACCTTTGATGGGTGGAGCGTCAAAGTTGACCTTGATGGGATTTGTTTCAGTTAACAGACGGTTGAAGTATTCTCTCCACTGTAGCTTGATTCCATCTTGTTCAAGAACTATCTCATTTTTGTCGTTTTTGATACATGAGGCACCAACTATGCCTTTTTTCATAAGCTTAGCTTGTTTTGCTATACGATACAAAGATTTCATTTGTTCACCTTTGCTTTTAGTGAGCCACTCTCTGCACTGATCTGTCCGAGCCAGTGCGACTTGAAGTCTTGCATAGTTGTTCTTCTCACGGAAAATTTTATGCTCATCAACAGACTTTGATTTTTTCCATTGCTTGTATGCAGCTTTCTTTTACCCCATTGCATTTTGTACACTGTCATTTCCCCACCAAGTGTCCCGTTCATGCTGACGTTTTGTACCAGTTTTCCCACAAACTGTAGTTGCAGCGTTTATCAAAACTGTTTTGTATGTACTCCAATCTGTACTGGCTTGCGATTGGTGGTCTAACTGTGTTGCGACAATCTGCTGAAATTTTTCTCGATGAATATTGCTTTTCAGTTTCCACGTTTTGATTCTCCAAGGCATTTGTTTAGACTTATGTTGTGACAGTTCGACAACAAGGTCTGCCACAAGGAGTCTATGTTGGGTGACACATGATTTGCCAGGTATAACTTTGACATTTTTGAATAGCCTTCGGTGTTGTTGTTTGACAACGAAGAAATCAATTTGCGTGGCTGATTGTCCACTTTTGTACGTTATAAGATGTTCCAACTTTTTTCTAAAATATGTTTTCAGTAAACAAAACCCATGACTTTCAGCAAACTCAAGGATGCGGTTTCCATCTTCATTCCGTTCTCCATAGCCAAAACCACCATGTACGTATTGAAATAATATATATATATATATTATATATGTTTCAATATATTTATGACTTTCCATAGTTTCAGACAATCTTATATCATTGCTAACTTGACTAACTTGCACGTGTATGCTTTTCGCTTTTTGTCGACTAACTTTTGTACGTTATAAGATGTTCCAACTTTTTTCTAAAATATGTTTTCAGTAAACAAAACCCATGACTTTCAGCAAACTCAAGAATGCGGTTGCCATTTTTATTCCGTTTTCCGTAGCCAAAACCGCCATGTTCGTTGTCAAAACCATCTGTTTTCTCTCCAACGTGGCCATTGAGATCGCCTCCAATCAGGATTGTTTCAGATTTTGGTATTGTTAATATGATGTCAGAGAACGCAGCCCAGAAGTCATTTTTTCATCTCTTCTGATTCGCCTGTCTGTGGTGCGTATGCAGAAAAAAATAATCATCGTTTGTTTTTCTAGGCGAAGCTTGATTCACATGAGACGTGAACTAATCTTTTTAATATCCAGTACTTCTTGGGCTAGCGGTTCTCTGGCAAAAATTCTAACACCATTTTTGGCCGTCTTTGACCATTCCAGATTAGTTTATATTTTTCTTTGTATGAGTTGACATGACAAACACCATTCGATTTCAATTTCCATCGGTTCTCCTGAAAGCAGCAGATGTCAATCCTTTTAAGCATGAACATTTCTGCAATTTCCATGCTGCGGCCAGTCAGTGATCCAACATTGAGCGTTCCAAGTCTAAGTACCATAGAGGGGCCGTTCTGAATTTTTCTGCAACATCCCTCCGCTATTGCATACTTCCCAGGAATTCTTGGCACCCCTTGACCACTTAAGGCCTGCTGGAAACTAGGGGCCGTTGTTTTTTTTGTGATGGCATAGGAATAATTTGGAGAAAAGTTTTTACATCCGGACACCCATCCTGACGACAATCACCACCAGCCTTTTGCTCAATCTCAATCATGAGATTGAGCAAAATCTCAATAATTCATCATTTAAATGGCAAAATTCAAACATGTTTAACAAACTCAAAAAGGCTTAAAAGATACATCAATAATAAATAACTATTATTTGATGAAATTTATTAGCAATTTAAAAAATATAAAATATTTAACAAATTTAGTTAGAAATAAGTAACAATTTTACTTAAAAATGCTTAACTTATTTAAAAATGAAATATTTAATCAATTTAATAAAAAAAATTAGTTTTTTAATTAGCGGTTGTTGGTTGCTTGCGCTTATACTTAATATAATCTAAAACTAAATGCTAATGACTTGAAAGAAGGAGCATTATCATTCTTGTCTCCAACTTTAACTTGGAATGAACAGAAACCAGCTAATGACGGTGATCCATGATCCTCAGCTTTTACTGTCAATCCATAATCTGTGATTCCAATTTTTGATTCGCGATCAAGGATGTCAGAGGTTGTGATCAACCCAGTGCGTGGGTCTATATCAAATCTATCAAAACTCGATTGCTCAGCAAAACGTACCAAAGAATATGTGATGTTGCTGTTGATTCCCGTATCATAATCAGTTGCCGACACCTTTAAAAAGAACAAAAATAAATTTTTATTTTTAAACATTTTTTAAAAAGAATTCTCAGATATACAATAAAAAATAACTAAAAATCAAATATTAGCAACCACGTATTTGCATGAACAAAACAAATACCATAGCAAAATAATTGCCACTCAAGAAATACAAATACTACGCAACAAATTGAATGCTACACAAAATAATAAAAGCTGCACAAATTATCCAATGCTGCAAACCAATTAAACGCTGCAAACCAATCAAATGCGACACAACGAATCCATCTTTACACAACGAGATAAATCCTATACATTATAACAAATGATGCTCAAAAAGTAAATGCTCAACTTAACAACTGGCAATTTATGGAAAAATCAACCTGAATGACGGGAGTTCCGATATTTTCCTTCTCCATGACAACAGGATTGTATGAGGAACATTCTAGAAACTTTGGTGCATTGTTGTTCACATCCTTAATTTCAACAACAACCACTCCTTAAATAAAATTTTAAACAGTTTTTACGACAGTAGCCTAATATTATTGTTAAACTAAGCGGAACATTTTATCCATTGGCATATTTATTGAAGGTTCATGTTTAAGTTTAACAAAAAGTATTGATATTGAATGCAACGATTCTTTGCTTTAAACTTAAATATATCTATAACACAATCAATCAATCAATCAATCAATGATCCTCCTTTGTCCATCGAGGGACCGTCGAGGCCAATGGTGTACATTTAAACATGCTTTTTACTTTTATTTTTTCTTTTTTTCTTTCCAAAAACCTTTTCTATCTTTGGCCAGTTTTATTGAATTCAGAATACCAACATCAGTCCATTCAGTAATGTCATCTATCCATTTATCTGCTGGTCTACCAATTTTTTTTTCCAACCTCTTTTCCTCATTAGTACCATCTTAATCAATCTGTCTTCTCTCATTCTACAAATGTGTCCAAAAAATCCCAATTTTCTTTCTCTGATTTTGTCACATACACTTTTTTGTCTTCCATGTTGATTTCTGATGGTTTCATTCTTTACTTTCTGCCTCCAACTGATTCCCAACAAATTTTGGTAACACTTCATCTTAAATGCTTCCAATCTGTCTTTGTCTCTTTTCTTTATTGTCCATGTCTCACACGCATAGAGCAATCTCGAAAAAATGCAAGATTTTATCATTCTCAACTTTGATTTGATAGATATATTTCCAATTTTCCATATTTTCTTTAATGATGCGAACATTCCATGGGCTATTGCTATCCTTCTGTCAATTTTTTTGGTGCAGTTGTTGTCACAGGTTATAAGACTGCCAAGATACACAAACCGGTCTACTTGTTCGAGTTTTTCTGATTCTATCTGAAATTCCGCACTGTTTCTTCCTTTTCCCGTAATCATCACCTTCGTTTTGTCTTTGTTGATATGCAACCCGTGATCTTTTCCACCAACATGTGTTAGTTCAATTAGTTTCGGTAGACCTTCTTCACAAGAAGCTAGAAGGTCTATATCGTCTGCAAACCTGAGATTTTGACAGTTCTCCTTCTTATGTCAATTCCATCCATTTCCAAATTTTCCATTTTTTCCATTGCTTTTCCTAGCAATGCTATAAATAGTATTGGTGATATTGGATCGCCTTGTCTGCTTCCAATGTCTGCCTCAAAAAAATCTATAATACACCCTGTAAAGTGCATGGCGTTACCGTGACAGGATCCGATTGCCTATAGGATGCAGTATACTATCTGAGCATTTATTCATGTATTTTTTTACTTGCACTGTGTGTTTTGTTGTTGATACCTCTAAAAACATTGTAGAAAAAGTGAAATAAAGAAATAAATTAATTAACATGAGCTTGAGCAAACGTATGTTATAATATACACGCGCATACACCTACCTACACTTGACCTCGTGATGACCCCTCCACAACATATGCCATCATCTGTTGCTGTAATGTTCAGTCTGTATGACAATGATGAAGATTTATCTAATGACCCTCTTAGCATTATAACACCTGTATCTGATGCTATGCTGAATGGTCCCCAAGACAAAAGGCCATCTGTTAATTAAATTTTTAGAAGTTCGGACAAGCGCATGTAATAAATTGTTGTAACATTTTTATTAAGAAATAATTTTATGAGCACAACATTTTTTTTCGTTCTTGTGATATTTAAAAAATAAAATTAAATGTCTTTAAATATAATTTTATTAAACAGTGTCATTTAAAAAAACAAGCATGAGTAGTACTGGCACAATTTAAAAAACATAATTAAAAATTTATTTAGTTGAGCTACTAAGCTCAAGTAAATTTTTACAACACGGTAGTGGAAACATCTTGAAAACGTTGAAACACTAACCATGAAAACTATAAGCCACAGAATCTCCATCAACATCATAAGCCTGAATGACGTGAATGAGTGTTCCAACTACTGCGTCCTCACTCACCTGCACATATTCCATTGGATTGCTGAATGTAGGTGCAAGGTCATTCACGTTCGTCAAGAAGACGTGTATGTTAGCAGAACCGTTCAAACGAGGAGTACCATTATCATATGCTGTTATAGTGAAGCTATAAGCATGATGCTGGTGGCTTGACGAAGTTGGAATATCATAATCCAACTCCCTAACAAATAAATTAATCACTCACTTAAAACGCTTCAATAATTTAATTAAATTTTTAGAAAAAGGAGTTAATGAAATTAGCAACACAAAAATACCTTGATGTTTTGATAACAGCTGTGTTGCCCTCAAGTTCTACAGAAAAATGATCATCAGACAATACATAATGTAATAGAGAATTTACACCCGAATCAATATCTGTTGCCACCACTGATGAACACAAAAATAAAGCACAAAGTCAATACAAAAAATTAATTAAAACTATGGTCGAATAAAATAGTTAAAAAAAATAATAACAAAACAATTCTCCAAACCCACAAAACAGCTAAATAACTAATTATCTTAAATTATTTTTTGATTCATTTGTCGAATACATGACACTTTGCATGCGATTGTTTGTAAAAAAAAAAGTTGTGAATCAAATGTGGGCTTTTTTAATTAAATATTTTAAAGGTGAATAGTTGTCCGTTGGTTTGAAATTTAGTTTGAAATGGATTTTTATTTTTTTAAGTTCCAGTTAACTGAGTTGTAATTTCATTTTTATTTAATTTATGTTTTTAAACGTTGAAATTTATGACTGACATAATTTATAGAAATGAGCAAATCTATGTAGGCTCTGAACGTAAACTGCAATTTAGATTCACAAGACATCAAGAGTTATATATGGCGTCCGAAATTAACCATCAATCAAAAGAGAACAGATAATTAAATGTTATATAAAAATTGGCTGTATAAATAGTTTTGCAAGAAATTCTTTTTGTGGCTGATGAAATATTAGAAAAAATGTTAGATGATCGGTTGTTGAAAGTTTGCTGACATGTATCGTCTGAAGATGTATTCCTTCAACAGCCGCAGTCACATAAGTATTTCTGCATTGACGCAGCCAAAGGAAACAACAAGAACTGGAGTAATCAAACCGTCAGAGGGTCTTGCTGGTGTTGGAGTGGTTTTCATTCTAAAAGATTCATATCGTTCTACCACGGTTGACATAAAATTTCAGCAAAAAGCATTTGAATACATATGCTTCAATACCGCTCCAATATATTAAATTGAATTAGGCCAGGTTCGTCAACATCTAGAAAAACTTACAGAGTTTAGAGGACAATCTATGATATGCAACATTGACAGACTTTGTCTTCAACATCTTGAAGACAAAGCAAACACGCATGCCGTTCAATTAAAAACCTCCCGACAAAGGTTATGTTCAACATGTTCAGACACTTAAGCTTGGTTTGCTTGATGTCGTCGTCATCAGGTTTGACTTGAAAGTTTACAATATCGCTGATGATCAGAGGTACACATGGGTTGGGTTGGGCTGAATTTTTGAAATTTTTTATTTTTTCACAATAAAATTTTTTATTTTATATTTGGTGTATTTTGAAACTCAGTTATTGTTGTACTGTGGTGTCTTTGGTCTATCGGTTCCTCATTCTTTTTGTGATTGTTTTGTGAATAGGTAACTTCTTTCCGATCAAGAAATTTATTTATTTACAATTTACAAGTATGGCAGATTCAGAGGAAATTCGGCGTCATTTGAGAGGTTTGTGTGATTTTAATTAGCGGCAAACCCGGAGACCACAAAGTGGTTTTTCCTACAATATTTATTTATAATCAACAGTTTAAATCAAGGGGGAGGCCTATTTACCACTTTCTTATGGGTTGAAGCTGGGATATGCAAAGAATTTCAATATTTTCAACTTTTAGTTATTTTCGGTAATATCGATTTTATTTTTTAAATTTATACCAAATAAAAAGAGTTAATTACCATATTGAATAACAAATAAAAAAATTTAAATTTTAACATTTTAAATAAAAGCAATATTCCGTAATTTGTAAATATACGATCGTAACTTTTGACTCGAACGATAAAAAGTCACCCTCCAACTCCCCTCCGGAAGTGAGCTCCTTGTTCGGCCGTTGAAAGTGAGCGAAGGCCGTTATATTTATTCTAGTTATATGGTTTAAATCCGACACATAAGCTCCTCCCTCGGTAAAACTAAAAGTCGAAGTAATAATAACAAAGTCGTTAGCTGATAAAATGAAGCCGTATTCCAAAAATATATTTAAAAATCAAGTTTGCTCTACACACACACACACACACACACACACACACACACACACACACACACACACACACACACACACATATATATATATATATATATATATATATATGTATATATAGAGTATATATTATATATGTTATATTATATATATATATATATATATATGGCCCTACATAAGTTTTATTTTAACCTAAATTAAAAAATACAATAGGAGAATATAATTTTGTAAATTTATCATGTTGAGTATATCGAGGTGTATTATATCTATTGAGGTTTATCCATGGGTATAACTAAGTCATATAGGTATATAAGTTGAGGTTTAAATACGGTTATTCTATAATTTCATAAGTTGAAATATAATAATTATATAAGCACAACCTGGTTGAACATTAAAGTAAGTAAAGGAATTGAGCTATAAAATTTCACATAATGTGAACCTAGGGTGATTAAAATTTAGATTGATTTTGATCTGAAAGCGTTGATTACATTGTCAAACGATTTCCATTCTTCTTTTTAGACTCAATAAGAATTATAAAATAATAATTATCAATAAACGTTTAATTTTCTTTTAATGTTTTTCGTATAAACGGCGGAAAAATAATTTTAGCATTCAAGCCCGTGCATGTTGAGTTATTTCCGTACGATTTTTTCATTGTAACAAGCAACAAAGCAACAAATTTTAAAACATTTATACCGCCTGTTGGCGAGTATAATGGCGGTATAATGTTCACTACGGTCCCTAGGCAACGAACAAAAAGCTATATTTAGTTTAATTATTAGTTGCACCGTTGGAGAAGCTTGTGTCTTTAAGAGCTGTTGACCATAAATAAATATTGCTGAAAAAACCAGTTTTTGGTCCCCGAGTTTACCCTAATTTGCTAAGTTTTTTCTTTGTATTATTCTTTAAAAATCAGGATCTCATAGACGCAAAAACTGTTACAGCAAGCAAGGCAGTAGCACAAAGTTAAACAAATAAATAAAAAATGGAGAAAGAAAAAGTGTTTAAACATGAAAAATAAAACAAAATGAAATAAAATAAATAATAAATGATAATAAAAAAAATAAATAAAATAAATTGGCAATAAAATGAAGTAATGGCATAAAAATGGAAATTAATAGAATAGATGATGACTTAGTGAGTTAGTGAGGTGATCGATAAATAAAAAATAGTTGTGTGAAGGATAAAGTTTTATTGAGTGTTAATATGTTTAAAGTGTCTTGTGATGAAAGTCTTTTCCTGATATGTATATTGGGTGGCGACTTGATAGTTATGTTTGCGTTGACGAAGGTTATGTGTTGTAGTTTAATTTGGTGGTAGTAGAGGATGGATGACGTGGTTGTTGTTATTTTCTACGTTCTAGAACAGTCTTGAATCGAGTGTGTTGAATATCTGAGTGACGGTAGGATATGACGCAGGTAGATAGTTGAAGCGAATTAGTTTTTTGAGGAAAGATTGTGGTTGCTGAAGTTGTTGTTGTGTAGCAAAACCAAATCAGGAGGGAGCTGCATATTTGATGCCCTGAAATTATGAGTGATTCAGTGATGTCGAATAATTTTATGCCTCTGAGACCATGTGAGCAGAGTGTTTTGAGTTTTGAAAGCCTTTTTTGATGATGTGATTGATATGATGTGCTATATTAATTGTGGAGGTGAATGTGATGCCTAATATTTTTAATTGACTTGTGCGAGTGATTAAAATGTGTTCTGGAGATAAAATTATTATCTGACGGCTATTGTGAATGATGGGTTCGAATGAATTATTGAGATTAAGTGACAAATTGCATCGTTTTGACCATGTAGTTATTGAGTCGAGTTCTGATTGGATGGTGTTTGAGTTAGATGATGGGATGATAAGGTAGGTGTCGTCAGCGTATTTGATGATGTGATTAGAGCTATGAAAAGTTTTGAGAGTAGAAGCATTGATGATAAAGATAAATGGTCCAGAGACAGAACTTTGAACTACGCTAGAATTAAGAGTAGAGCTAAAGAAAGTAGAATGACTCCTACAAGAAAGAAAGTTTATTATAATATTGTAAATGTTGTCAGGTAGAGGAAGAGAAGCTAACTTATTTGAAAGGGAGAAGTGATTGAAAGTGTCAAAAGCTTTAGAAAAGTCAAGAGCAATAAGGTGAACATCAATCAATCAATCTTCGTTCAGAGACCCAGTTCCCCGGAGGTAGGACTTTATTTTCTTTACCATCAATTTTTTGCGCCAAATTAGACGATCAGTTGTATCAATTTTGTTTAAATTTAGAGCTTTCATGTCTTGCTCGATTGCTTGCGACTAGGACTTCTTTGGACGGCCTTTGAGACGTGTACTAGGTACTTCAACATCTGCAAGAGAAGTTATGGCACTGTTTCCACTTCGTTTGACATGACCAAACCGCAGACGGTGTTGCCGGCATTTGTCCTTTATATCATCTAAACCAGCACGACGCAAGATTTCGGTAGATTTGATGTGGTCCTTCAGTCCTTCAGACTAATTCGTTGCATCCATCGGAGCATTTTCATGTCGGTTCGTTGAAGTTGTTGTTCCAGTTTGGTTGTCATTGGCCATGTTTCTGCACCATATAACAACACCGGACGTATCACAGATTTATAAAGTCTTGATCGTAATGGTAGAGGGATGTCATGCCGCATCAATATAGAGACAAGGAGATGCCATTTATTCCAGGCTGCACGTATGCGTGTTCAAACGGCAGCTTCAACTGTTCCAGTACAATCCAGAACATCCTCTAGATATTGAAACGATGTGACTTTCTCTACTTTAATGAGAACTTAAAAATTATTTTTAAGGAGAGATGTTATTGTGGAAGTAAGAGAGATTGAGATGATGGCGGATGTAGATGAACCTGTAGGACGAAATGCAAACTGATCTTGTAATAGTGG